TTCCAGAATCACATTTACCAAAAAGAATCACCCCACAGGCAAGGAAAAAAAGAAATAGTATTATAGTTTATAAATGTGATGGACAGTACTTGATGAATACAATAAAAATTTTCAAATTGTTGAAACAGTATGTATTTTCTGTTTTTTGCCTGAGTTCTCTGTCTGAAAATATTAAAATCATCCACCAGGATAGGCAGAGATACAGTCCTAGCACTTGCTATCTTCTTTTCCTTCCTGTGTTCAAATAATGACTCCATTAAGCCGGGCGCAGTTGCTCACACCTATAATCCCAGCACTTTGGGAGGCTAAGGCGGGTGGATCATGAGGTCAAGGGATAGAGACCATCCTGGTCAACATGGTGAAACCCTGTCTCTACTAAAAATACAAAAATGAGCTGGGCATGGTGGCATGCGCCTGTAGTCCCAGCTACTCGGGAGGCTGAGGCAGGAGAATTGCTTGAACCCAGGAGGCGGAGGTTGCGGTGAGCCGAGATCGCACCATTACTCTCCAGCCTGGGTAACAAGACTGAAACTCCGTCTCAAAATAATAATAATAATAATGACTCCATTTTGCCAGTCCTGGCTTTAAGAAGGGGAAAATCCAAAACCTGCTTCCTGGGCCCCTTATCTTAGCTGTACAGCTTCTGCTTTGTCCAAGAGGGCTTTGTCACAAAGAGGGAGAGACATTCAATTCACTACTCAAGCAGGAATAAGACAGTGCTACACTAAAGCAGACACATAAGGTGGCTTCCATGGAGTTCAAAAAAATGCATGCCTTGAAAAATGGGTCTGATTCTTCAGATTTATGATAATTTCAACTTTTTTCACAAATGTACTAATTCTTCATCCCAGGTAATCTACAAATCTATTAGACAATGGACAGCTGACTACATTTTTCGCTCGATACCAAAATCCTTTATCTTGCTCCATACATAAATCCTTGACTTTCTTATGATTCTGCCTAGTGTCTGTTCCTAAATTCATTTCATTGCTAGCTCTTAGAGAAAAACCATTTAGCATCTTTTAAGAAATAAAAAAGGTTGATGTTTTATAACATATTTATTGAAAACTCAAGATTTTAACAAGTATTTTGTGCACACACGCACAGCATATACTAATGTAGCAAAAGCAAATGGCTTGAAAAACAAGAAGGAAATACACATTTTCCACTTCTTGAGTAATGTATCTTTTGGTGCATTTACCCAGTCCCTTAGGAATCAAAACCAACCATGATTTCACCTTCTCCACATATGCAGACTAAAAACAACAGAAGTTGTTAGATCCCTCAGTAAGTATTTCCAGGAGAAAATAAAGTGTCCTTCAGAAATTCCTATGCAGAGGGGACTAAAGCAAAGTCCTATGAGCAAAGAGAGCAGACGCTTGAACAGAAGGCAGTGTCCAGTGAAGGATCTGCACGTGCTTGCACCTACCCCCGTTTCCTGCTAGGTGGGAACAGATCCTTCAGAAGCAGGAAGAGGTGAAGGGGTGGGATAAAGTTCCAAGGGAAACCAGCCATGGGGCCATGCAAACATACAAGATACTGAAAAGAGACCAGTTCACAATGACATCAGCTTAGGACCACTGCCATTGTCCTTCTTCCTCACACATATAAATTGCTCAAGAGTTTGGTTGCTTGCTAAGTACTATTTTATGAACTCAAATCGCCATGGTACAAAGATACACCACTGTCCACAGGGGCTCATAGTCTGAGTCACTGAGATAACATGGCTCAGACTCAAAGTACAGCAGGCAACAAAGAGTTTTAACCTCAGGGCTAAATGTTCTTCATTTTGGTGAATTCTGTCCTTTAAGAGAAGGATATATTCAAAAACTTCATCGAAAACGTACCTCACAAGAATAAGGAGCTCTCCAAGCACAATTCAGACAGTAGCAGAAGCAAGTAAAAGCATCAAAACACTTGAGCAGTGTCTGAAGAAAGAAAACAAAGAGGGAGGAGACATTGGGTGACAGGCTGGGACAATGCATCCTAATTCATTAAAAACAAACAGAAAACCATCTCTTTTTACTTAGGATGGCTACTACAAGAAACAACAGCAATCGCTGATGAGCACACAGAGAAACCAGAACTCTTGTGCACTGCTGCTGGAAATGTAAAATGGTACAGCTGCTATGGAAATCAGTATGGTAGTTCCTAAAGAAAAAACTAAACAGAATTACCATTGATCCAGCAATCCCACTTCTAGGTATGTATCTGTACACCCACATTTACAGCAGCACAAAGTAAGAACTTAACAGCCAAAAGTAAGAAGTCAAATATCCGTCAGTGGAGAAAAGGATATACAAATACACAAAGTGTGGTACATGCACACACTGCAATATCATTCTGATACACACAGGAATAAAATTTGAAAACACTGTGCTTAGTTAAATCAGACAGACAGCGAAGGACAGATATTCTGTGATTCCACATAGATGAGGTGCCCAGAATAGTCAAATTCAGAGTCAAATTAATTCATGAGGGAAGACAGTAACAGAGCGTTACTGCTTATTGGGTACAGTTTCTCTTTGGGATAATGGGAAAGTTCTGCAGGTGGATGGTGGCAATGGTTAAACAATGTTAATGTAATCAATGCCACTGAATTACACGTAAAAGTGGTTAAGATGGTTACAATATTATACCACAACTAAAAAACCAACAACACAGAAATGACAAACCTGGAGTAGCTCCAGTCATGGCTGGCCCAGGAGAGGTGGGGCCTGGAGAACATCCTGCATCCCCACCCTGCCCTCCCCTCCATAACCACTCAGAACAGTGCTGCACACACTGCTAGTTGCCCAGCCAGCAGCCCTAAGCCCTTTATTTCCTCTTTGTTAAGACTTTTGTCCAGGAATCGCAGGCCACATGTCTTAGGGGGACTGGGATATCCCCCAGTGCCAGGGTGAATCTTGATTCACACAAACCAGGTAATTTCAAATGTTTGGTTCTCAGGACCCGTTGATACCTTTCAACATTACTGAGGACCCCAAAGAATACTTGTTTGTGTGAGTTATATATGTTAATGTTTACCACCAGAAACTAAAACAGAAATATTAAAGACAAAGTATACAACAAGCACACATTCCATCAGCTGTCAGAACAATGGCATCATCATGTATCATGTAACCTCTTGACAACGCCACTGCACGTTAGTGAGAACATGTAAGTGGAAAGGCAAACAGCAGCTTAGCATTATTATAAAAATACTTTTACCACTGTGAACCTCCTGAAAGGGTCTCGGGGACCCTGGGCCCTCAGCCACGTTTTGGGAATGGCTAGTACAGACCAGTCGTGATATTTACTTTTGCTCATGTATCAAACTGTAGGAACGTGCATGTTATGGAACTCTAGGGCATGAGAACAAAACTTAAACTGAAAGGTTTCTCAGTTTTAAATGAGTTCACTTTTTCCCATATCCAACACAGTAGTCTTTCCATGACACTCAGAATGGCAAAAGTCACCTTGAGATCCAGGGATAAGGAAGCCTGAGAGGACTGGCCAACATACTGCAAACAGCACAGTGTGTCCTCACAGCATAGTTGAGGCAATGATGGAGGCGACTGTGGAACTGCTCTTTTTGCTTAATCCACCATTGTTTGGCTTGCCTGTTACCTGCAGTCAAACACATCCTAGCTGACACATCTCAGAACCTAGTTTGCTGAGCATATTTTGAAACCCACGAACTCACACAATACCTGGTAAATTGTAGAAGTGTGATAAATATGTACTGAACAAATATATGGAAAATAAATACATAAACAAACAAACCCACCAAGGCTATTGTAGAGGAAAAATACAACAGATAAAATTCATACTGATTTTATATTGATAGAAACCCTTGTAGCTCCAAGACTGTCAACATTTAAAACCAAGCTCATTTTAAACCACACAAAAATGGCTATATATGGTACCTGTTGGAGGGACAAGAAAGTTTGAAAATGCTTTCCTTTGATCTAAAACATCTCTAAGTCCAGACAGCTAAGTCTACTCATGCCAGATATGGACCACATAACCTTCTCAAAGTGGACGCACCTTAAATAAAGAGCACTTTTTTCCCATTTCCCCTCAGTATGAGTCCTTTCTCTCATGAAATTAGCACCAAACAGGAGAGAATGCTATAAAACACACTATTTATGGAAAAAGAAAATGAGACAAATCACATACCTAGCTTCCAATCAATGTCATCAACTAGGGGCGCCATGACCTTGTCAGAAAATATTTAAAGCCCCTAAAATATAATCAAATATAAAATTAACAAATTTATGTTCAATTCTCCTTAAGTTGACAGGATTCTTCCTCCTCCTTGATGAAAGCCTGATAACTATTTTTAATTTGCTGAAATGTAATGATTCTTTGCTTCGCTTCACAGGGTAAGACTGGTCAATTTACCGGCTTTCTTTTTCGAAAATCACAATAAAATATTCTTGTTCCCATGAAGTGCTTATGAAAGAAACAAATAGTATTTTTTTCCCCCTAAAACCAATAAGGTTTTAAGAAAAGTTCCACTAGGAGGAGCTGGCTATTTCTCTGTTGAGTCAGTGGTGTTCTACCCCTGAGATAGTCTAATCAGAACAGAAGACTTGAAATTTGCAGATAATTTCAAACAAACCTCAATTGTAAACAAAATCTGGGTCTAAGGAATTGGAGGAGGCAACTTCAATCCAGGTGCAGAGCATGCATACACACTCTTCAGATGACTCTGCAAAGAATTAAGTAAATTGAATCTAGCAGATAACTCTAGAGATTTACTAAGTTCAATTCTCCCATCCTCATCCCCAGCAGTGGTGGGAGAAGAGCTCTTCTCTGGACTCGGCTTCAGAGTAAAAGCATCCCTTCACCACAGTGCTCACCTTTGAGGCTGCTAAGACAGAAACCCCTGATCTTGTTCTCTATCAGAGCACTGAAGAGCCATCATTCAGACTTGAAAAAATCAGCCTTCCCTCATCTGTTCTGATACAATGATTACTTCCTTTCCTTGCATTCTTGTCCTCAACTTCACTTACCTGACAGTAAGACTGTTGGGTTTTGGTTAGACCAGTTAGAAAGTGAGCAGAGGAACACATTAGTTATCAAAATATTAGGAAGCTTCTTTTTGCCTTTGTGACTGGTGACTTGGCTCCAAGTTATTTTTGCCTCTTTCTCCTTTTGGTTCCACAGGTAATTTATTGCTACCTAAACAAAAACAAGGAAACCCATACATTTATTAGGAGCCTATTTTATGACAAGAACCCTGAAAATCATTGCAAACAGAAAGATGACAGTGTTCCCTGCTCTCAAGTAACTTATGGCTAATGAAGAAATTGGGACCCTTAACAGATAACACTTAATAGGGAAGGGCTGGGAGAGAAGGAAACACAGGGGGCTGCAGGGAGCATGAGGAAGGGGCACCAGCCAGGCAAGGAAGTGTCAGAGGCCCCAGACAGCAATGACCCTGAGCTAAGCAGGTAGGGAGCATGAGCAGGAGCGAGCTAAAGACATCAAAATCAAATGCAAGGTGCTTGCTGCAATGCACAGCAAGAGTTAAGTTACCATTTGACCTATGGTTCTCAAACTGAAAAACTATTGAGAGCTCCCAGTATTATCTAAAGTCATTTTTCTTGTTAGTTAAATATTAACAAACATAAAGCAGAAAAACCTTATGCTTATAACTCCTATACAATTACAAAACAAAAAATGTACGAATTAAATACCAACAAATATATAAAATGAGTACAGTTTAAACTAACAGAATTAACTCAGCATGATCAATGATGCAGTCATTGAAACTCACTAACCATGTGAGCTTGGTACTGACAGGCAGGTTCTGTTGACTGGTCAGTACTGACATATGCTGGGAGTCAGCTTAATTCACCCATGAGTTTTCTCTTCAGAACCACTGTGCAATGGCAGTCTCTTAGCTCAAACACATTATTTATATTTTCTCCTTTGTTCTTTTGTAATATCTCCCTGTATTTAAAGCAGTGCTCCTTGGCACCAATACAAACACAACTGCAGGTACTGAAATCTTAAGACATTACTTGGTTAGAATCGTAGGCATTTAGGTGTGTAGAAACATGAATTTTTAAAAATTACCATCAAAATGAAAAATAGAAGGTGAAACCTTTAGCATAGAAGACCATAGTGTCCTAATAAATCCCACCTGCCTAATCCCACTCATCTTTTAGGGCCTGCAAGCCTCAGGTGGAGTTTAAATAAATGTATACTATGGGTCACTAAGCTCTCATAGGAAGCATTCTTGTCATTAGCTTTTAGTACTATGTAAAACCAAGTATCTGTCTTTCTTTCCTTTCTCACATGACTTCCAGTTAAGATGGCACAGTGAATTCACTCTTTGATGGATTCTGTCTACTCCAAACATACAGCAAAGAGAGGAGAAACATAAAAAAGGAAAAGGATGCAGGCAAGCACACTCAAAAAATAAACAAACATTTATATGAAACAGATATGGGACAGAAACACAAAGAGGCAAGGCCCTGAGGACATAACCTTGAGCAGCCAGCCCCTCCTATGCTAGAATCCAAACAGGCAATGAAACTGTAGGTTTAGGTCTTAGAAAGGTTGGGGGCTAAACAGAGGCACAAAGGACAGAGAAAGAAACTAGTATCCCTGTTGGAAGGTGGAATGGAAGGTGCTGACTGGAGCCCTACCCCTCCATGCTTGAAGGAGGGCTGGCAGCTTCCTCGCTGCCTATGGAGTAGTGGTCTAGGGAGGATGGAGGACACCCGCCAGCCAGGACCAGGCACTCCATGAAGTAGCCTGTGACTGCCCAGGAGCCCCCACTGTGAAAGCTGGTTCTGCACCCAAGCTCCATAGAAGCCAGACAGAGACAAGCGAAATGGGGCTACACAGGGGAGAGTATGCAGAGAGGGAGAAAGAAATACGAAATATGACTGAATGAGTGAAAAAAGTTGTTTAAAACCTCATTCAAAACATGTCATTTAACCAAATTTCTAAAGAAATAAATGGAACAAAATCAGACATTAGATCATACATTCACTTTAGATGAAGTTAATCAGCCCAACAAAGGATATATTTAGATGCTAAAATATCCCAACAAAGTATACTTAAGATACTAAAGTAATCCCAACAAAATATATTTAAGGTGATTAAAAACACCAACAAAAACAAGTATATTTAGGGTGCTTTTTAAAAAGCTAATTAAAAAAGAATAAGAAAGTGTAAATCAAAAAGGCAGAATTAGAAAACGGCTCAAAAACAATCAACTAAAAAGTACGTAAATCAGTACTACAGTCATTAAAACTGAAAAACTCAGTGAACAAGATACTGGACAGTAGACTGGAGAGGAAGTACTCTGTCTCGCCAAAACTCACTGCACATCACTGAATCTGCAGCCCCACAGCTCAGGAGCTCAGCTGCTAGCCCCACTGCCCAGCCTCACTCGGACCTGGCTGGTAGCCTTTCCACACCACAGGTAACTGAATGGCTCAGATCAGCACATCCAGGCTGTGAGTCCCACTAGCATTCTGCCTCTCTCCTACCAGTTGGAGGATATAGGTGAAGCAACTTTCGCTTTATATAACCCATACAGAAACTTGCTGAAAAAGCAGACCCCAAAATGCTTCTGGTAACTTCTGGCAACAGATCTGCCCTCCTTGCAATAGAAAACTCATTCTGGATTTAAATTTATCTTCCTTGCCCATCACAATTCTCCAGCATCACCAAATGTGGACTTGACTGGATTCCTTATTCACCATCATGGTATCACAACCAAGTTTGGACCAAGGAACTCATTATACAGCAAAAGGAGTAAAGCAACGTGCTCCTGCCAATTGTCAGCTAAGTTACTACTAGCTGCTGCATGAACTTGATGGCTTTCACCTGTATTCGTTCATCACTTCCAAATTTCTCTACTACATATTTCATTCTACTGCATTCTTCTCTGAAACTAAAACAGGAAACAAACATTAACGTAAAAGAAAACATAAAACGAGTGATAGCCTGAGTTATGTGGAAAGGAACTTTAAGGAATCACGGAAGAATAACAATTTAAAAAAATCTTGGAAAACTGGTAACGAAACACAGTACAATTGTTTGGATAAAGAGTCACAGTTTTTTTCCTTAAAAGGTCAGTAAGCTTCTCACTTAGGTTCCCCTGGAAGGCAGAGCTCAGACAGGTTAGAGAAGGTAAAGACGCTAATTCACCCCCTCATTTCCAAAGACAGAAAGCAGCTCACCAAACCAGCCATGTGATGCCCTCCAGGTGGTGTGCCTGGCAGTTACACAAGGGGACCGACAGGATACAGGCCCTGGAACCAGCCACTGTGCTCTCAGAACCTCTCCAAAGCCGGCACAAGAGCACCACCTACTGAGTTCCAAGGGACAATTTAGTCCATTTATTGAAAAATGGCTCAGTAAAATATGACTGTGGAGGGATGAACTCTATATCATTTCAACCTAATTGGCTATGTCTCTTTCTCTTTTAAACTAGAACATTTGCCAAGACTCCTGAAAAAGAAGAAGCATGCCTTCTTGCTCTCCCATTCTCACTTTAATTACCACAGTAAAATGAATCTCTTTTCCTTCTATCCATTTTTGGCTATCATAATGAACACTGCTATTTCTATATCACTTTTTCCCTGCCTGTTTTCCAAAAGGCAGAGAAAACCTCTAGGGGAGAAGCAGTAATAGTCCTAAAGAGTCTGGGAAGGATGTATGTAAAGTCAAGTCATTTGGTCGAATTTTAAGCCCTATGAGGCACAGTGCTGAAATGAAGGAACTGCTTTCACAAACTCATTGAAAGAAGATTATAACATTCCCTTTCTCCTTGAGGAGCTTAAGATGAACAGAGGTTCTAGACCAGCAAAGCTGGAGATCAGATGATCTCTTAATAAAATCGAATAAAGAAGAAAATACGTAGACATAAGGAAAGACAATTTATGGGATAAGTAACATCAGGGAGAGCTGATTGCTTCTGCTGTGCTGTATATTAAACATACAGAATACAACTGAAAGCAAAGAGTGGGTTCTTTCTGGAGCCCTTCATGCTTTACATGAAGCCTTTAGGTATTGCCAAGTACAGAAACCCTGAGACAGACTCACCTGAACAATTTACATATATTTCAGCCTGCTTATCATGCAGCTTTGCTATGTTTTATTGGTCTCATAGGGGCACTCTGGGAACCATTATATGTATAGCCTCTCCCATGCCTTAGTCATGATGAAAACGCCACAACTTTTTTGCGGACTTCAACAGAATGTTAGGTGTAGCAGAGAGGAGCAGTCACCTCTTCAGCATCCATTCTCCACATTCCCCATTCTTAACAAGACTGGAAATTTCCCAGCCAGCATATTTGAATGGGCTAAGAATGGGCTCTGATTAGGGTAAAGCAGCGGTTGTCAACCAGGGACAGTCTTGCCCTAGAGGGGACCCTTGACAATGTTTGAAGATATTTTTGGTTGTCACAGCTGGGAGGACGATGTCACTGGCATCCAGTGGGCAGAGGCCAGGAACACTGCTGAAACACCTACCATGCACAGGACAGTCTCCCACAACAAAGAATTAGCAGCCCAAATGTTGACACTTCATTCCCACACTAGCACATGGGACCTGTGAATATTACTTTACATGGCAAAGGAATGACTATTACCTTGTACAACAACTACAAAGTGTTGTTCAGGATCCTGAGAGGAGCTTGTCCTGGAATATCAGGATGGGCCACTTGCATCCTTATGAGAGAGGCAGAGGGAGTTGGAGACAGACACAGATGAGACAGCGATGTGAAGACAGAAGCAGAGATTGGAGGGATGCAGCCACAAGCCCAGGAATGCCATGCTGGCTGCCAGAAGCGGGAAGAAGCAAGAGTCCCCAGAGGGAATGTGGCCCTGTCAGGTTTCACACTTCTAGCCTCCAGAACTGCGACAAGACATGATTCTGTTCTCTTCATCCATCAGGTTTGTAGTAATTTGCTATAGCAGCTTCTGGAAACTAATATAACATCCTACCAGGAGGTGTATGAATTGCAAATCACAAAAAGGGAAGCAAACTTACATCTTGCTTTTTTTTTTTTTTTTTTTTTTTGACCACAAGATCCCATTCTACTGATATACCAAAGGTTTCCACATTAGTCAAAATCCACAGGAAAAGTACTATTAATATTATTAAGCACTTCTGCTGCTGAATGCACACCTTAAAAGTCCATCACCTGACTCAC